CTCAGCAGCGACTGACGTCAGAGTGTGTTAGGTGCGTGGGCTGAAGGGCGGGATGGATGGGGCGTGGGGGCGAAGGAGTGGGAGGTAATTGGAGGGGCGTTGCATTGACTCACCAAGCGACAGTGTACAAAAATAAAACCTGTGGGCAGGGAAATGGCACAGTCTTTTTTATACATCTTCTCCCTCTACCAAAAGGACTGCGGAAACAACAAAAAAAAATGACATATGTTTCATCTCTGACGTCGATCTCCCTCACTTTGTCTTTTTTCTCTCTCTCACTCATCCAAGTTTCCTCCATCTGCATCTCTCATTAATCAGAACTTTCTCTCGCTTCCTTTCAACGTCACTGTTTTCTTCCAACGTCAACTTATCTTCCGCTGGCGGTTCGTATAGTCAGGATATCAGTTTTTTCATACATCCTTTTAACATTTGAATCATGGAATCACAATCCTCAATCTGATAAATCTAACCACGTGTAAGTTTCCGTGTATGTTACTGAAAATGTGCTATTAAATTTTTTGTGTCATCGCAAATTAAATTCTTCTTCACAAGTTATTATATTACTGTGCACTGTCACAATAACATGGACACTGAGGGTTTCTTAATGAGCAAATAAATACACTTTTATAAACACTTTTAAGTGATTTTTACATTTACAACCTTTCTTGAAAGCCAGTAAATGCATATCGGAGGTAATTGTTTCAATACAAATAAACAATGAACATCAACTTTTGTTTGATTTTACTCAACACATCTTGTTCACTTTTGTTGACTCTATCACGATCTTATCACCAGCCTCAATAACCGATTCAACTTGTAATACTGGAGAAGTTTTGTGATTCAACAGCTCGGGTTGGTCATATGAACCATGATGACTTCACTGCATGTGGGAGAGTTCCTTGCTGAATTCCCCAAACTATTATTCAGAGGTCTTAAAACACATAAAGCATTTTATGGTGTTACAGAAATCTAAGAAGATCCATTCATGGCTTAAACCTCCCTCAGTGCTCTTTAAATGCGTTTCCTTGTTGTTTTAACTAGTATTTGTTCTTTAACTGGCTCCTAAATTAATCTACCTATCAGGTCTCATCTTCAACTTTACCTTTCTCCACAGACCTTGACAGTAAAGTGGAGAGGCGGAGCTCGATAACACCGTGCAGGAGCAGTAGCCCTTGCATCACCAAAGACGACTCTAATCACCGCGGGAAATGAAAACGCTCAGCTGTTTGTCAGGGAACTTGTTCTCAGGCCTGCCACTGAACTCCACTCAGCCACACAGGCTGTTGCTGAGCAGGCTTTTCCCCGTCTACTCGCATCACTGACATCTGATGAGGAGGAGACTCTGATCAAAATCAATACAGTAAATGTCAAAAATTACCAGCGACCGATATCATAAACCTGCAGTGACTGAACACTGAAGTTCAAAATGTCCTGTTTTGACATTATATTCAGTAAGTATGTAGGGGAGACACTTTATTTTTTAAATACGTGGACTACACGTCCTGCTGAGGATGGAAAAATTAATGGATTTTGTCAGGAAAAGGCTGATATTTTGGCAAATTAGTCAGTTTGTTGTGAGAAGTGTGTTTAAAGTGTCACCTGTTTCAGATGAAATGGGCTCGACACAGCAGGGGGCACTGCAACTTTGGAAATTGACTCTCTTAACTTACTCCAGTAACATGCTGTAGTTATGTAACGGGACAATGTGGTTTAGTTGGGAGACTTTTATTTACATTTCCAGCAAGTTACAACATAAAAACAGTCAGATTACGTTCTAAGCAGCTTCTCACCCTCAGGAAACAAATGGATGTTCTGGGTTTTGAAGTCACCGTGTTAGATATTCTTTAGGATTTAAAGATGAGGATGAATAAAGTTAGTAAATAAAAGAGGGTTTGTGATATAAGTTGATCTAGATAACACGCAAACACAGCCGTCAGATTCACAAGCCTTGTGTCCTTTGCTGCATTAACTAATCGCCCATGAGGGCATGCTGAGGTTTATTAGATATAAAGCCATGGGTCTTCATCATCCACTCCCTCACATCCTTCGGTAATGATATTTTGCACAAGCGGCTGATATGGTGTTTGCAAGAGATAATTCTTCAGGCTTTTCATTATCTTTAATCATGTGAAGATACACACCTATTCTAAACCCAGCGGCATGAAAATAAGAATGCAGCTTTATTGATTTGCAGTCTTTAAGTTTCAGTTGCCTCTCTCTCTACAGTGAAATCAGGTTTCAGGCTCAGCTACAGTGTCTTGCTCAAGGGCCCTTCAGCAGGGAGGATGCTTGCTGTCGTCCGCTGCTTTTCCCCTCTCATCTTTACTTTATCTCTTGTTCCCAATGGGTGCCATTGTACAGCCTTTCTGCATTCAAAACAGCATTGCAAGATTTAGAGAATAAAAAAAAAAGACATTTGCCACACAAGCATTTTTCAGAAAATGTGGTGGTTTGTGTAGATTTTTTTAGGTGTAGCGGAGACTTACAACATGGCAGTGTGTTTTTGGGATGATTTCTGTAGTCTTAGATATTAACTAGGTGAACCTTATGTTAGTTTCCCTTTTGAAAAACAGTTCTTTTGTCCTTTGAGGCTTATAGTAAATTAGGGTGACTAATCTTTCTTTACTTACCTACTTAAGTTTTAGAAAAAGAAAAAAAAGACATGCAGATGTTTCAAGGAAGAAATCTCATGGTGCTTGACTCTTGATACAGCAGCTCCTACAAGCAACGTCAGCCTGTTCGGCCCAGTTGTAAATTGTTAAAGTGTATTCAGAATTCATGTAATGACGAGGCTCATATCGATAATGATTACAACTTTTTTGATTTTTGTATACTTAACCACAGAGTATGTCGGTGAGGTAGCTTGCTGTGCATCAGTTACACCTGCCTGTCTCTTGAACATTAGTAACTTCCTCAGTTTATTATGTTGCAAACAGATTATTTATTTTGTTACATCTCAATAAATGTTATTTTATTGCTTAAAACCACAGCGTGTTGCATTGTTTTCCCACAAAGAATCATTTTTTTTTCTTGGCAGTTCTGATGTGTGGAAGAGGCTGCAGCAGTTGCGTCACACAGCCAGCAACACCTCTGCTGTCGTCTTGTTTGTTGCACTGACGCTCTGCGTCGAGCCTCAGTGCTGGCATGACTCACCTGTACCATCGATTTCATCAGCACTCATCCACACACACACACACACACACCCCTCCCTCGCTTGATTTTCAGACAGACACCAGAGAAGATCGTACAAACAGATCCAGACCTCAGAGAACCTCAAGAAATTCATTTGTAGGATTTCTAAGCGTCAACCGATTGTTAAGTTGTGTAACACAAAATCATAAAGGTTACATTAAAATTATGCATAGCTATTATGAGGGACGACAGTGTCGGTCAACAATTATTACACAACATTTGTGGTTCCCAGAGGTTGAATCCTGCTGACTTTGGTGGTCCTCTGCACTGTCCTCTAGCGCCACCATGAGGTTGACATTTTTGAGTCTCATCAACTACAGGATGGATGACATTTGATAAACATGTAACAACATTGATCTCCTGACTTTTAATCTAGTACCACCATCAGCCTAACATATCATAACATAACCAACTTATGACCAAATAAATGGAAACCTATTGACATTCCCATCAACCTGCTGTACTTGCTTATTAGCATACTGTATGTTAGCATGCTAACATGCTAACACTAAAATGCAAAATATTATACCTGCTAAACATCATGCTAATATAAGAACTGTGAGCATGTTAGCATGCTGACATTAGCATTTAGCTCAAAACACTGCTGTGCTTATACCATTTGGAAAAAGATGCTATTACCTTCTTGATAATGCCAGAGCAATTATATCCAAGTTGGTTTTCTTTACTGTGATTATGTGAGCGACATTCAGTGTGGCAACAGATGAAAGGAGCCATCATCAATCAGCTGTCAGCACCACAAATTAGAGAGTTACATCTTTGAGTCTATTCTTAGCCAGTGTTCTTCCTCTGTAACACAGAGCTCAGCAGCAGACAGCTGATCAGTTTAATGCTTGACTGCAAACATTTTTTTTTAAAAACAGCAGGATAACCATTAATTAAATTAGCAGGTCTAATTATCTGCATTCAAATCTTTGATGAGCATTACATGTGCGCTACATGCATATGTGGGCAGTGTTTGTAAGGATAAAGAGTGTGCAACATGCAAATTCAAAAGGTTTAAGAAAAGGTTTTAAATAATAAACTAATAAACTTAATTATTATCTTTTCTTAATCCAACTTGAAACAGATGATTTAAATGGGGTCATGATTAAAACAGACTCAATAAGTGCACAGTGAAATGCAGAGATCAGCATCATATAACTTACGGACATTAAGATTTGCACCAAAAAACCAAAGCAAACAAAGTTACAGTTACATAAAGGTGCACTATTTACTGGTCAGTACTAATGAACCCATTTCAACCCTTTCATGACGATGTAACAAAGATGGCATTACCTTTGCTAATAACTAATAAATAGCACACAAAAAGTCCAATAACAGAGCAAAATTACTTTCCTGTCCTTCTGGACCAGAAACCACAATAAAACTCAGAAAGGTAGAATAGAAGGCCAATTTTGCTTGAACATCACATATTAGTCTCTTCATTTGAAGGTTTTATTCCCCTGAACAAAGGCTACTTCTATATATTGTTACATGCAAGCATCAGGATGTGGGTGTCCTTCAAACAGATGTAATCTCTGTTTATCTCAGACTGTAGAGCAGCGTCTCTGTTGTCTGGGCACCATAGTCACCGAAGTAGAAGAAGTAGGATGAATTATAAATATATTTCAGGACCTATGTAATAGTTGCAAGCTGAATCTACAGAGAGAGCAGTGACAATAATTAATGCTAGGCATTCTCTCTGTGAAACACATGTCATAAATGAATTAAACACACAAAGAAAACAAAGAATTGTTGAAGAAATAGTCCCAATAAAAACTGATTGCCATTATATTAGGACATAAATCTCAAATAAAACCAGGGCTACATACTAGTGCTGTAGAGGTATGTGAACTGACCCTTTAAAAACACAGTATCTTAATGCTGTCCATTTCCACTTTTTATTTTACATCTCAGAGACAGAAAATGATGCCAGCCTCCAGATCTGCACAGTTTATCCAAAGACAAACAGCATATGAACAACAGGCCAACGTCAATGCTGTTCCCAGACATGAGAGTAACTGAGTTATCCATCACAGCACATCATATAAACACGTGACTCATATGTCGGGATAAAAAGACGGTTCACTTCAGACTAGGTGACGTGGGTGTAAAGGTGACGTAGGAACTCTCCTCTGGTGGTCGTGTCTCCGGGGAAGACCGCCTGGCAAAACTCACAAACGTGAGACTGCAGCGCCACGTCTGACATCAGCATCTGGTCAGACTGACACAAGAAGTCACAGACCATGGAGGGATGGTCCGTCGCAGGCATCTGACACAAGCAGAGGGGACAAAAGATGGAGTTTTTGAGGGAGAATATGGTAAAATCAAAGGGACAGATGCCCACATGTGTGATTTCTGTCCAGTAAAGACACCTACCCTCACTGTGTGCATCACCCTGTCTCCATTAAGATGATCTGCTCCCACATTTTTTGAGACACTGGAAGAGGCTCCTCGCCACTTTGAGGAGTCCATGCTTAACAGGGGTGCAACCTTTTGCTCCAATTCCCCATCTTCATTTCTCTGACGAGGCACATCCACACAGAGCTTGGACATATCGTCAGCAAGGACATCAGAGAAAGTCTCCACATTTCTAGAGAGGCGATCGACTCCATGCTGTGCTGCGGGGTCGTGTGCAGTGGCTGTTAGTGGTTGAGGCTTTATATGGAAATATGTAGGGATTTCTTGTGTAAACTGGACCATCCCTGTCATATCACTCAACTCTCCATTAGGAGCCGCATTGCCTGCAGACAGAGAGTTGTAGACGTGTTAAGTGAATCGCGGCGGACACGTTTATGAGTATTGGGGTTACAAAAGATTTTATGTGCACCTTGCTGTTTCTGCAGAGTTGTTGTGAGTTGATGTAATAGAGCTGCCTGTTTCAGGCAAAGTGACCTCAGCTGGAGAAACTGCTGGTACAGTTCACTGTACGCTTCCTCCATCTCACTAGCTCACAGATCTGCAGCTAGTAAACAAAAGGAATTACACCGAGCTGTACAGTACACTTATATAAGTAGTTCATTTTAAACATACTGGGTCAGTACAAGAATCCACTTATAAACTATCCACCATGTGAATGTTCTTTTATTGTAGAGCCCACAAATTCACAAAATGCATACATACAGATATCCTTAGTGTCAGGATTGTCCCTAAATTCCAAAACATCATAATTACTTTACTTATAATAGAGAATGTGTGCAGTAATATGTAGACATGTAGACATGTAGGAAACAAGCATACAGCAGGCTACAGTGTCTGCACCAGTACTGATGTGCTTACTCTTTATAAGCTCATGTGTCGCTGCTCCAATAATTCAGGCCTCCTCGTCATTTCTTACAGCCGGGTGCAGGGTTTTTCTCCTGTCGAGCCGCCTCCGTCTTGAACAAGCTTCCTGTTATTGTGAAGGAATCAGACTCAAATCCCATTTACTGAGAACCACAACAACACATTTGTGACGGTGAAATCCATTCTTCAGACGAGGTCTTACCAATCACACTGACTGTATAGCGAGTCTGTTTTTCCCCAAGCGGGCCAAATGGAAATTATGTTCTACTCGTGTAACAAAACATGTAGTTGAGTTAGAAAAATGTTAAACTAAAGGAAGTAGCTTTTAAAAAAACAGGGAAGTGAAACCTTCAGTACAAAAAGGAACCTTGCCATCACTCAGCTACACTGTTACATGAGAGAGTGTTTCTCAACATAGAGCCAAAGGAGAAAAAGAGTCAGGCTCTATTTTTAATGCAAACGCCTTCTACTCTGCTGATTGTAAAGATTTTAAAATCATTAGACTGTCAGTGATTTTGAAGAAGGTGTTTCCTGTTTTCTGTCGGCATGAATTGTGTCAGGGATATTCAACAACAGCAACAGCTCTCCATATAATCTGTGTGTTAGTCTGTGGTTCAGTAACACATCAACACTGCTACCTTTACTTTAAAGGTATAAAACAGATGTTATGAAACATATAATTGTATATTAAATGCATAATACCTCATCAATAGTGAAAGTATTGAGATCTTTTACTTTAGGTATTTAATGTAAACATAATGTAAAAGTCCTACATTCAACGTTTAAGTAAAATATGTATTAGGGGGCAAATTCAAAAGTAAAAGTACTCATTGTGAAGGGGAGCGACCCCATTATTATGTATTATAGGTCTATTATTTAATTGATTATTACTGATGCTTGAGCAGCATTTTATTGTAGTTGTGAAGCAGATTTTAAAGATACCAATGCCTTATATCATAAGCTCATTACAATCTGCAGTGAAACTAGAAACTAGTTACAGTCTATAATATAATAATAATATAATAGGCTATAAGTCACATACACTAGAACAGCCTGTTATATTCCAGGTCACCACATTGATCCAGTGTCATTGATCATAACAACCCTTTTACTTCCAAACGTTTAACTTTCTCTCCTCTACCTGACCCCACATGAATCAATGTTGTGTAATTTTCTCTGTAATATGGAAATTAAGAGTCACGGATGAACTTCTTTCCACAGTTTCGCTGAAAAATGCGGAACAGAAAAAGCGAAATTCACTTAGTTTTTTCCTCCCTGAGACTTCAAATACATGAGGACAGTTTCTTACTGTGAATCACACAGAAAAATAAAGTTTACTCACACTTACAATGATCGATTCGTTCCCGGCAGAATCACGACGGACTGACTTTCAATATGACGTCACTGCTCCGGCCAATACTCACCTGCGTCAAACGCAGGTACACCTGCCAAAATAATACTTCCTGTTTAACAAGGCTGCCTTCAAAATAAAAGGCGCATCCTTTTGTGGAGGCCCAGCAGTCCTAAAAGTTGTTCAGGGAGGCTTGTTTGTCTCTTTGTTTGAACAAATTGTACTCCATTGTATATGTTTAGTCTAATAATACTGTAATCTGCCTATAAAATATATGTGTAATTCTAAATTGTAGAACATAAACTCTAAAAACACTGAAAAATTAAAAGGACAAACCCTTAGTGTCCATAATGTTTGGTACAGCCTGGATTTAATTGAGGGCTTGTGACTTTAACCAGTGGCCACTGCAATGAGCAGTAAAATGGGCTAAAATAATACTTTAAATTAAAGAGTGAACTTCATCATGCTGAAATAAGGCATTTTACTCAAAGTAATTATGTAACAAAGAAACCAGGCTAATCATAGCTATTAAAAAAGACTTCATCATTAATGATTATCATAAGTGATTTTATACACCTGTCTGATCTGTTTTATTTGATTTTTAGGGCACCTTTTAATATTTTACCAGGGACGCAAGATAAAAGCATTCTTGACTAACTTTCCTGTTCTGGTTCATTTTGTTAGGCAACATACAGGAGTTGGTCTGTAACACAGTAGAGGACTACTCAAAGCCTGGTTGACTGCACAGCCACAATATAGTTATGCAATAATCCAGAGGCTTCACACATTACGTATCTCCAGCTGGCATACAGATCTTGATTCTGAGGACTTCATGTGACATTGACATATCATCATTTCATAGGACGTCAGATTGGAAGGGTGTGCTTGGTTAGTGATTATGGCGTGAGGCATGTCGTGTGTATAGCAATGCAGCTCGAGTTGACTGCCTGAACTAGCTCGCAGGCTTAGCGCCATTCATTTAAAATACAAAACAATGAGCCGAAAGATGTTAAAACGGTCCATAGAGATGAGGGGAACTGCTGAGTGATAATTCTTCAATGGTTTAATACCAGCAACCCCATACACCCATCCACACATGATCTGTATAAAGACTATGGAGAATAACATTTTAACCAGCAAGCTACCCAACAATACATAAAGTAATTACAATAGTAGTAGTACAGCCCCACCATGATCAATTACAAAATTAAAATGCTGCTTAAATTTACTGTAAATGTCTCAGTTACAACCCTGAGACTCTACGGCCATGGTAGTGGTTCTGTGAGGCAACTTTAAGCTAAATGTTAACATGCTGATGTTTAGCAGACTGTTTACTATATTCAGCATATTAGTTTAATATGTTAGCATGCAAACATTTGTTAATTAACACTAAATAAGTCATAGGTTGTGCTTGTGTTTGGTTATGAACCAGAGTATTCGACAATATTGACCTCATGGTGGTTGACCTCAAAAATTAAAGGACCACCAAAGTTATTGTAATTGATCTTGAGGGGACCATGAATGTTTGTGCCAGTTTTCATGAGAATCTGTCCAACGGTTGTTTCAGTTTGGACCAAAGTGCTGAACCGACCACCCACACAGACAAACTGGTCCAACTAGTGATATCTGTAAAGTCATCAGCATTTGATCCCAGTTGTTACACTATTAAACCAGCGAGGGGACAGGTGTGTTGATCTGGAGCCACTCTGAAAAGAGCTGTCCATGAAAATGTTTAGTCATGTTGGGACTCTGGGAGCATTCAGTGTGTGTGCGTGCGTGTGTGCATGTGTGCATGGCATTTTGGGTGTTCAGTCATGTGTTGACTGTGGCTGATATTGGTTTAAAAATAGACCAACATTAAGGCAGCAGAGTCCTGTGGGTGCCATCCATCCACTTAGGAGGAGCAGCAGTTTTTGCCCTCAATGTCAACCCCTGACAGCTGAGTTCACAGCCAGCACCTTGTGATCTTAGACGGGTGCCAGTTCTCTCTACTTCAGACTAGTTATGTAACTCTTGTGTGAGGGATGGACAGAGTCACGTCTTTGTCAAGATGCTTCTACTCACAGAGGATTTGTGTCATTGCTTTATTTTTGGCTGAAAAAACAGCTGTTAATATGTAGTATTTCCCTCTCTTATTATCATCTTGTTGTGTTGTTGAACATATTATCTGCATTGACTTCAGTTGCAGACATTTGCAATATCTGGTGACACTTTATGTTAGTGATATTATTGTGTGAATAAAAGTACCCATAAAGACCTTCTCCACTCCACAGTATGATGTTTTAGCTGCACTGTACAGAATGATGTATGTGCAGTGTTTGACACTAGAAGGATGTTTTCATATTCATCTGCTGAACGTGGAAAGTTTATCTGTGCTCATTGAAAATCAGATTTTAAGGGGTGGGGCCTACGAGCCGAGATATGTGACATCGCAAATAGTTTGGAAGTCAACCTGATCCAGTATGAAACTTATACAAGTGTGTCTGATATTTAAAGGTCTTACTGGTACACATGAAAAGTTACAGTAGTAGTAGTACTGTAAAATACAATATAATTTATTTCTCCCTTGTTCCCCATAGTTTTAGAGTTTGTAGAGTTTTTAACTGGTTATGAAACAGGCTGAATTTAATACTGATGCTTCTATATGATCTACATAAGCGAGCCACCGGGTCAGATTGGTTGATTGATGGGTTGGATTATAAAGTGTTATCCAGTCTTGTAATGTGTTATCTAAAGTTGATTTAAGTGACCTAATTGGCAAATTAAAGGAGCAGTTTGCTATTTGTGTACGAATTAAACAAGCAAAATATAACAAGTGAAATAGTAAAATATAGAGTTGCTGTGGATGGGCAGGAGCCAAGTTAGCTGTTTCCCCCTGTTTCCAGTCTTTATGCTAAGCTAAGTAGCTGCAGGCTGTAGCTTCATATTTAGCGTACATGTCAGTCACACACAGTGTTTTCATAACTGTACATTTATTTATTCATTCATTTATTCAATCATTCATTCTTGTCTGGTGCTTTAAGCTGCCAGTCAAGGCAATATAAATAAATATTAAGTGACATAATTTAATCGGAAAAAGAGTCAAATGACAATGTCAAAGAAAACACACTAATAGATATTTTCAGACCCAATGAGTATGTACAGTATTGTACATAACATTAAACAAAAGTAAAGATAACACTCACACTCCATCTTTACACTGTGTGAAAGCCTGTACGTTAATTCCTATTTTTAACAGCTACTCATGTTTCCAAGGACATGTGTGATCACTAACACAGCTCTTAATGTGACCAAAGCTGTTCAAGAAACATTACTTCTTCTCATGGCTGTACATTTATTGATTTAAAATACACATTAAAGTGTGTTTAGTAATCAGACAGTGAATTGTTAATTGATGCAGTTATTTATATCTGCGTTGTACCTTACACCGTACCACACGTCTCTGCACTAGTGTGTTTGCTGGTTTGCAGCATGTGTTTTCTCTGACCTTGAACCCC